GTTCTGAAAGTGATTTATTGTTGAAAACAAGTTTCGGTTCCAGGTAATTGATATGCTTTTTTTTTTTTTTTGCATCTTCCCATCATGCCTGTCTGACACCCTTACCCCTCCCCTTGAGTTAAGTAGTTTTACGTTTTAGTACCATGTCACGTTAGCCTGACTTCTTCATTCTCATATTCTTGTCGGAATATGAGTCTGAAACTGCTCCGTAGGGCTTTGATTATGAAGCGTGTCTTAACCGAACCTGGAAAAAAAAACTTTGCACTCAATTGGATAGTCGGTAAACCCTCAACCAATCAGAGCAACGCAGTAAGTGAACTACTTTGCATACAGTTGTCAACTACAGAACGTAGCCTAACTTTACTTATTTTAGAAGTTAAATAACAAGTGTCGCTTCTTTTACTTACTCCTCCATGAGCGCGACCAAAGGAGAAACCACAACGACCACAGGCTTTTCATTACGCCCCATCTTCTTAGCGACCGTCAGAGCCAGCTGATAAGTTACACTTTTGCCGAATCATGTAGGAAGGACGGCAAAGATATCTTTCCGATCGACAAATGCCTTGATTGCAGTTTTCTGTTTGTCTATTAAAATTAATGCATTGTCGATTTATTTTACAACAGACGCGACAGTGGAATCTATACATCTCAATTCTCCAGCTGCAGTCATCTTTGACAAGCGCTCTTTGATAACATAATGATTACGTCTACGTTAAAACTGTAGACTTTATATGTACAAAAGTGCATTAAAAACTAATTGATTTTTCAATAAATGGCAACAAATATTTTGCAAGCAAGTACGGGAGAGAGAGCAGGTCTCTAATGTAGGGGTGCACGATATATCGGCCACTATATCGGTATCTGCCGATATTTGCTCATTTTTATGTTATCGTTATCGGCCCGATAATAACATTTGGCTGATATGTTAAAGCTGATAAATAATGAATTATTTCCTTAAATACTTGACACCTGAGACACTTAAGATGTGCACTGTTCAACATGATTGATCTTAATTGCTTGAAATAATAGTAAAAAATATAGTTAAGTGCAAAATCTGCTGTCATATCGGCTACATAAAATTATAATGAGAACATTATAATTGTGTTAGGGGACGGATTTTAATTGTGAGACTTTTTTTTGCAATCAGGCGTTCAAAAATTATATAAAAATTTGATTTAGATTTATATATATCGGTTATCGGCTTTCAAATATAAAGAAATATCGGTATCGGCCAAAATTTTCATATCGGTGCATCCCTACTCTAATGTGATCTAATGTGATTGCAGGTCACGCATTTGAAACTGGCACTGCAAGGCAAATACACCCACCAGGACGAATAACTAGAAGCCTTAAAGGGTTAGTTCACCCAAAAATGAAAATTCTGTCAGTATTTACTCACCCTCATGTTGTTCCAACCCCGTAAGACCTTGTTCATCTTCGGAACACAAAATTAAGATATTTAAGATATTAAGAATCGCTCCTGCATACAGTCCATAGGCTTCTTGAGGGACTGGCTCTTGCTGTCCCCGAAAAGTCATTAAAGACATCGTTAAAATAGTCCAAGTTGACTTCAGGGGCTCAATCTTAAGTTTATGAAACGACGAGAACACTTTTGTGCGCGCAAAACAAACAACAAAATAACGACTTTATCAACTATTTCACTTCCTTCTCCATGAGCCTGTAAGTCAGTTAACGTAGTTGTGATTGCGTAGAGCTACGTCACACGTAAGCTCACTATTGGCCGACGCTGGTCATGTGTGTGTGATGCGTGTGACGTACACAATAACAGAAGCTTACGCTATTAAACTAGTTAACCTGACTCGCGCAGAGGAGAAATAAACAAATAGTTGAAATAAAGTCGTTATTTTTGTTGTTTTTTTGCGCACAAAAGTATTCTCGTTCGTTTGATAAACTTAAGATTGAGCCCCTGTAGTCACTTGGACTATTTTAACGATGTCTTTAATGACTTTTCGAGGACAGCAAGAGCCAGTCCCTTAAGAAGCCTATGGACTGTATGCAGGAGCGATCTTAAATATCTTAATTTGTGTTCCGAAGATGAACGAAGGTCTTACGGGGTTGGAACAACATGAGGGTCAGTAAATACTGACAGATTTTTCATTTTTGGGTGAACTAACCCTTTAAATGAAACAAAATAAAATGATTTCTCTAACTGACTTCTGAAGCAACAGGCCTGCTTTCCAAATTCTCTCTGAACAGCTGGTCCAAAAACCTGACCAGGAATCAGAATGAGTATCCCTGCAAGGTTTAGAGAAGGATGATTGCACTATAAAACTTTGCGCTGTACCTGAACCAACCACCCCCATGGCTTTGACCCGCTATTAAACCCACCGATTGCAGAGCTACATTTACCAGATCGGTAGCTGCAAGAGTCTGATGTTTGCCTTAGTCAGCAATTACATGGCAAAGTGTATTAACAGTCTTCTGCCCACCCAGACAGTCCATTGAATTATATACATTATATTAAGCTATCCATGCCTCTAGATTCCTTATTCAGACAGATTGTCTTAATGCTTCTCCAGAGGCCACTACTCACTGGCTCAACTAAGGACATTGGTCCCAAGCCTATTGGTTCCAGTTCTTCCATTGCCGACAGCAGATGCAAAACACTTCATTAAAACCTTGTCTAGAAGAAATGATCTCAATCTCACATTCTGGCGTCAACCACTATGTCTATTCTGAGATCCCTCAGGTCTTTCTATTAATCAGAGCAGGAGTGAAATTATAGCGGTTACTACTTTGGATATTACTGACATATAGTAGGGGTTAGCAGGGAACAACTTAGGCAAGAAATACCCAGATGAGCAGCTTCTAACAGCGAGCGAGATTCTGAAGTGCGCATTCAATAGACACTTTGCTCTGTCCAAAATGGCACCCTAAACACTCATGGTCTTCCTTCGAGTCCTCACTTTCATGACGTAAATTCTATTTGACTGTCTGGAAGAAGCCTAGGAGAGAATAGAAGGGGACAAACCTAACGCGGGGTTAAATGTAACACATGGACCGTTTACATAGTTCGTCAGGATCAAGCAGGCTTTACGATTTTTCTCTTGCTGCCAGAAGACGGTTCTCCGCGAATTTGCGGAAAATGTTGATTATATTTCGTGAAGATACTTGACAAAAAGAGTGTTTTGACACCATTAAAGTAATTTTTTTTCATCATAGATTTTTTTCGGTTTCTGAGTTGGGTGAATAAGTTTCCAAATCTAACTTTATATTGCCTTAATCACTGTCTGTTGGCTCAAACTTAGCACCGTTTTGAAACTTGTCAACAATTCCTACCCAGATAGCAAACTGACATTGAATCAAC